CCCTTATAAACATCGACTATCAACAGTGACTGTGAGCAACGCTGTGGTTTACCATCAAGCAGGTGATGATGATGAGGAAGAAGGTGAAGAGTAGGATAACGTTGTAGAGGCCGTCTCTGCTCCATACGTGATCCCTCTGCTCGTCCTGCAGGACGTTCTTCTTTGGAGATGAAGGCGAGGAGTCTGGGATGTTTCTGCAGCACTGAGAGGAAATCAAACCAGAAATCAGCCGGACTTCCTGTTCTGCTGTGTTATAAAATCAGCTGATTTTCGGATTAAATATTCCCAAAAGACGGTTCTTTTTTATTTTTATTTTTTACCTCTGGTTTGACCTCTATGATGCCGAAGTCGGCCAGATGGTGGTGCAGAACGCTGCGGTTCAGTGATTGGACGACCTCCTTAGCAGGGCGGAGCTCGAAGATGTCCCGCCTCTCAGAGGACACGAAGAGCTCGATGCCATTTCTTGCCTGGAAATTTGCATCAGGAAATCAGTCAAACAAGTGGCTTAAAAAGAGGAGAGAGGGGGGGGGGGCGACTTACATTCAGCTTGTTGATGTGAACGTGTTGGGGAGAAACACCGAGCGCCGCCGCCACACCGTCCCGAAACCACAGAAGGTGACTGATGTTCAGCCTCCTCACACCGACAGCCAGGTACTGGAGCAGAGAGAAAAACACGGAGTCAGAGCAGGAAGAGGGTCTGCAGAGGAACTGGAGGTCAGAGACGTCCGACTGCTGCCACATTCAGACAGCAGCTCAGTCTACAACGTTCTCAGTAGAGGAGGACGATACATTGGCCGGCCGACATCTTTACCCGATTTCAGCGTTTTGTTCTGATATCGTGTTGATCGATTCATGCATGCATTCAGCAGCCTTGATCAGCTGCAACATTTGCATACATTGAAACTTTCTGGGGTGAAGAAATGTGGAAAAAGATTTATCATTTTTTTCTAAAAGCACCATTAAAATGCAAAGTTAAAGGAAGCAGGACGTAAAGTATTTAAATTGATCTGGGAGTAAATTCTTGCCAGTCATATTTTTTTGCCCTGCTCCCTTCAAAGATACAGACTTTCTTTATGTTATGATTATTTCTTCCTCGTCTTTCCTTCATTTATTTAAATATGCAACAATAAATGCCTCATCACCATTTATTCACTTCTTCAAAGTAGATGAAAAAAACTTTACTGACATTAAGACAATGAACTTTTCCATGGATTATCGTCTTTTTAGCTAAACTCCTAACAACTGGTTGTTTAAAGAAATAAATTTAGCAATAATTTTAACTTTATACAGGGTTGAGTTTCCTCCAGACAAGTTGAAGAAACTGGAAGAAAGTTTTTTTTTTCCCTCATTTCTCCTGGAATAAAGTAGTAAAGTCCTGATAATACACACATAAAGAGAAATCTTTATGAGAATACACATAGGGACAGTAATTATGAATTTATATAATTCATTAAAGTCGTAGGGTAGCAGCTGTTCGAACGGTTGTATTTCCAAATTCTCCCAAGTGGTGCACGACTTTATACGAGTGAATAAAGTGAATGTGATTGGTCGTTTATCAAGAGGGCGGGATTGTTGTGGAGGAAGATTCGCAAGCATGTTTGGTTGTGGACGGTTTGTCAGAAGCATCTTGCTAACCAGTTAGCAACTTAGTGCTAGTAGGTTCCCAATGGGAAATTCCATTGGGACCAAGTTGCACTAAATTGGTGACTTAGAAACAACCCTGTCAAGGAACGCTATGGACAGAGGAAACATGCAAGAGGAGGAGAGTTTAGTGTCGGAGGTCGTGGATGAGTCTCCT